TAGTGAGCCATAATGTATGCTGCAATTAAAGAGAAATCCAAAATAAGATCTTTGCTTGGCAAAAAGGAGCCTAGTTCTTGCCATAAAACCTTGCAATACCATTAAGTTCAGATTGGTTGAAGCAAATGTATGTGAAGAAACAGTGGTGCCCTTAGGGACTCTGCAGACCTGAGTATTAGAAAATTCCCATCTGGTGATCAGCTTACGAACCGAAGGAAGTGTAGAAGTTTGCTGGCAAACTCTTCCAAAACTGTTCTGTGTATTGAAAAGACATTAGCAGGAGGCTGTGTTGTGCCTGATATTGTTACATCTGGTGTGAAAGCTTGGTACCACCGAGTTCAGCATCAAGACTACAATGAATTTAGGCGCGAAGGAGATTTCACCTCAAATGAGGTAGCAGCTGAGATAGAGTTTTGCTCTTGGCTCAGTTCTGGCATTTAGTTTGGTAAGATGATCGTCCTGAGGACAAACCTGACGAGGGCTTCCCGTGTTGGGCTTGAGCCCTGTGTTTGCCTGCCCTGCTCTCAGGACAGAGGTGCAGGCATCGGGGCCACACCAGGTGCATTCAAGTCAATGCAGGCATTTTCAGTGGTAGCAGATGTTTTCTTGACGGCTGAGAAATGCAGCCTGTCGTTTCAGCAGCCATCTCCCTCAGGGGTTTGGCAGGGATCACAGGGAGCTGGAGCAAGTGGGTTAGCTCAGGGCAGAGTGTTTTCCTAGCCTTATCTCCACAGGTGAACTTTCTAAATGTAGGGGTCCCCTAAGTGATTTGACTTACCCTAACTGAGTAAGGCTTATTTGAGAGACTACAGAAAAGTTATCCTTAACTTCAGTGAGCTTTGGAGCAGCCCAGCCTCTTTTGTTGTTGTCTCCACGTGTTGCACAGCACCACTGAGCCAGCTGGCATCTACCTTTCCACCAAGTCATGCAGTGAATTGCTTCTGCCTGCTGCATCTCATCAGACTTCAGGTTTGCTGTTCAGCAGCAAGGACCATACCCGTCACTTCTCTGTTTCTTTCCCTTGATGCTGCAGTAGAGCCCTAGGCTGCTGACTTTCAGGGAACAAGGGTAGATCTCTTCTTTCTTCCTGTATGGGAATGATTGTAATTTGAGACAGATGATCCTATTCACTTTCTTTAAGAAGGCAAGAAAGATTCGTGAAGAAGAAATAAAAAGGCACATTTAGCACAACAAAAAGTCAGCATAAATTGACATATTTCCCAGAAAATCTGACAGTGCTAAAACTGATGAGTTTGTAGCATTTCAGGCAGTTGCATCTCCCATTTTGTTTTGAGGGGACCCTGTTAGCTATGCAGGAGAGCATCCAAAAGAAGCTTACAGTAGTAGGCAGCAGAGAATGGAGAAGGCAGCACAATCTACTGAGCTCAGCAGTGCACACAGAATGTGTTTTAAGTTCCAGTGCCTTGGCTTATCCTTACAAGTTCTTGAAAGTAGTGACGTTCAAGCAAAGAACCAGATACTACTGCTGAATTGGAACTGAGGGCTCCAAATACATAAACAGCATCTGTCTGCCTTGACTCCTGTACTTAGGTCAGGGAGTCTCTGCAAGGATGTAATTGAAGGATTGGTCCAGAAAGTAATGGTTTCCTTTGAATGTCTGTAAGAAAACTGCCTGGCATACGCTGTGGTGATTTGCAACTAAGCCAGAAGTTTTAAGAAGTTACAAATGGTGGTAAATAGCTTTCCTAGCAGAATAGGAAGCTAGTTTGTTGATCCATTTTGGTGAATGGAGTTCCTCTTTGCTAAGGATGAGAGTTTTGTCTTTCCACTTTGAATGAGAAACCCTAAGATGTCATTATAGTATCCTGTCTTTGACACTAATTTGCCCCCTGGTTTTCTAGATAGACAGAGCATCTCTCACAGCCGGGAGTCAGGTAGGTCCAGATTCAGTTCTGTCCTGTGAGCACTCTCTCTCATTCTTTACTCTGCTACAGCATAAATAATAGTGGCAGAATGTAACTGTAATATCCTGATGGTGCCTTTAATGAAATAGTTACTGGGTGGGATATGAACAAGCAATGTGAAACTAGCTACAGCCTGAATTACTGCTTTGCAAACTTTTTACTATGTATTTCCATATAAATACATGTCAAGTGATTACATTTTTATGGAGTTTCAAGTGAAGCCCTGGCTGATGGCTGCTTTGGCACATCTCTGGTTGATCTAAGAGTCTTTCCATATAAATACTCAATGTTTTTCTGAGTGGAGTGGTTTTGGACCCCCAAGCACGTAGAATTTACTGCCTCTGTGTTGAGGGCTGACCCAAACACAGCAGAATTTGAATTCCCTCTGTAAAATTGACTCCCGCTAGTTGTGCACATTATTCTCCCTGTCTCCCATTTGGCATGTTAGTCTGCTGACAGTGGAGTACACAGCACTTAGCAGCTGGTTTGTGGAACCATCAGTCAGGAAATTATATGATAAATAGGAGGTAGCCAGGTTTAGTGGCACTTTATTCTGCTTCAGCAGTTTTAGCCTGACTTTGGAAAAGTCATCATGTGGTTTTTCTTAAGGGTTGCAACTGGAGATGGCTACAGTGTGGTAACTTATTACACATACACTTGAGTTATGATGTTCACCAGCTGTATTGCTCATGTGTAAATAATAAACTGTGAGATGGATAATTATGTTGGGTTTTGATATGCAGCTTGGCTCTGGTCGGTGCAGGGCTGACAGAGACAGCTCCCTGTGCTGTGATGGAGTATGGCTGTTTCCCAGATGGAAACCGAAAACAAGATGCAACCAAGATACACAAAGGAGCCTAATGTGGGAGGACTCCAAAAGGTGTTCTTCAAGATTTATATCCCATGTGTTAAATACAGCTTTTTGGTGCTCTGTGTTGCATAGGCCCTGCAAAGAGGAATACCCTTTTGGGCCTTTTAATACTCATTTTCTATTTCCCAGGTAGGGAAAGGTAGATAATCACATTCAGGAGGGCTAAATGGTGTTTTGCTGCATATATATTGGGACTGTTTTTAATGGATAGGTGCTCAGGCTGGGGGTGAGGGTGGGCCTTTGAGGAGGTTTGGCATCCCCAGTGGGATTGCTTGCCTTGACCGGCTGGAGCCTGTACTGTCTGACATGCTCAGAGGTGACAGAATATGTGGTCTCATTATACCAGTGAAACATGGAACAGGGCAGGTGGGAGGGGTGTGCTAAAACACACTTCTCATGCCCCTTTTCCCTCTTCTGCACCTTGGTGGCTTTTGAGGAATGTATCTCAGAAGGTAGAAGCAAGCATCTTCTGCTCTGGTGATGATGGTGTGTTCACAGGGGTACCTGGTCATCTGTGACCCACCTTTTCTTTTAGAGAAGCTTGCTGTAGATTACATGCCAAGGTCCAGTTGGTGCAGCAGAACCAGAATTAAAGCTATTGTTAAGTTAGCAGTAAGCCACAGTTCTTTTTCATTGACGGAGCCTTAAGCCCTGAGTCAGTAAATGGCAGAAATGTGCTGTGGCTGATCACATGCTGGTGATGTTTCACAAAATCCAGCCATACCGCTGAACAGGCTGTGTCAAATGTTCCCAGGTTTTCCTGAAATAGTGGGAATTTTTCCTCAAAATTTACACAATTTCCCCTTCATCTCCTCCATTTACTCCCTCAGGACCATGAGGTTTGTTCCTCTTGTTCTTTCTCCCACTTCAAAACAACCAACTCAACTTTTGACGAACACCAAGAGGAAAAATGCTTTTGTGTTTAACCATCTCTAGCTGGCATGAGGGAACTGCTTTCACAGGTAATCTAAAAGGAGGATAGCATTTTTGCTGAGTAGAAAAGGCAGGAAATACAAGGAGAAGATAACATCAGGATTCAGCAGGCAAAACCCAAAATAGGCTTGGTTTTACTGGTAGGGCATAACTAAAGCTTTCTTTCTAGAAGCATTTTAATATATCCGTGACATGACCTAATATCTGTATGCCTAAATATTTGGTGTGGGATAAACACATGACTTCATCCAAAGTGGCAATCGGGTAATAATTGGGCAGGATCAGTTTGGTTTGTGCCACTGGAGATGCTCAGCATCACTTCTGTTTTGAGCAGCTAAACAGACACTAACCTCTTTTGGGCACACAAGTAGCACCAGTGTGCTGATAGGTAGAGCTCTGGTCCATGTGCCTTGTGTCCTCCAAAGCCGGGAGGCAATCCCACTGCACAAGTGGTGGGGCAGAGCCTGTGGGGCAGCAGGTACACATTCCCCCTTTTGTCAGCCTCATTACTGAGGCTTTCCCAGAACAGCAGGGAAGAGGAGCCCTGGCAGCTGCAAACCCACTGTCCTGTGGAAGCCTTGGAGGAGATGGGGCAGGGGAGCTTGCTGCAGGATGGGGATAAAGAAAGCACCTTTCCCATTAAGAATGGTGTGTGAAATGAGTCCCCCTGTCCTCAGGCACGTTCCTCTGGATGCGGCCATCAGTGTGACACAGTTAAGCATCTCCAGTAAGGCCTTTCCCAACTGCCTTTCCTTTTAACTCCCTTGTCTGATTTACTCCAAATAGTAATACCTCATTATGCCGCTTCAGTTTTTTCTGTTGCAGGACTGCGTGTACACCTCTGAGGACATAAAGGGTTTTTGTTGTATTGTATTCTCTGCTTAGGCTTTTCGTCCTGGGACGATTTCTTTTTTTCTTGTTTTAATAAAAAATAAATAAATCAGGAATGCTTTTGAAAGGCTTTATGGTCCTTTTGATCTGACACTTCACATATGGGCGCATAATTATTTATTGAAGACTTCTTTATGTCCCTTTCCATTTAAGCTGTAAAGAGAGAATATTGAAATTAGTAAGTGCGTATTCATGCAAACACTGTGGGCCAGACTGTCCCCTTGAACAGACCTGACTGACTGCAGCAGGGAAGGAGAACGCGACCCGGCAGCCGTGGCACTGCTGACACGTGTATTTCAATGCCTGTTTAGTCCTTATGAATGCTGTTTTTAAAGAGTTGTTGAAGATGCTCAGACCTGGGAACCTTGCTTGTTTTTCAGATCCGCCTCACCTCTTCCCAGCATTCCACCCTCCTGTACCTATTGATGCGAGACATCATGAGGGGCGCTACCATTACGAACCATCTCCCATTCCTCCTCTGCATGTGTGAGTATTCAATGGTTCCCTTTGCTTCACCCTAGAAGAACGGGCAAGTATATGAACCTTTGCAGTGCTCAGAGCAATTCCCCTGGAGTGCTTTGCCAGCCTTGCTGGAGGGCAAGATTTACTTCTGGAAAGCATTGAAGTTATCTGTTCATGAAGCAAAATCCAGGCTGGATTCCTGAGGAATTCCTGATATAATAGGTGTCTGGCAAGTGTTACCTTTGTGTTTTGGTGACATTTATTCTGTGTGCTGTTGTTCTATAAATACTAAATCAGAAAGTGCTGAACCCTGTGAGGTACAGCCAGACAAAACGTGTATTTTGTCTGTATTAGGCTTGGGATTCTTCACAGCTAAAATTCCCTCTCATGCCAACGATTTTGTTTTCCCAGTGACTGCTATGAAGCATAATGAAATTTTTGGTAAATTTTCCTAGTCCCTGTTGTGTGCACACACAGGCAATCGGTTGATTGATGGGATTGTCACCCAAACAAAATGGCAAATGTGATAGAGCACATGGTTTACACAAAGATAAAAGAAATGAATACCAGTGATAACGTGCATTAGAAAAGTGTGGTAGTGGTGAAATCCTGTAGAAATAAATATTATCTTATTCTTTGTGGGGAGACAGATATCAGCATTGCAGAATAAAACAGTTATGTCCGGGAAACTGCTACATGCGGTTAAAAATGGAGCCGAAAAGCGGGGTTTGGTACTTTGCTAAAAGGCTTGATACATACATTTAATCATATCTGCTAATCACCCCTCATACTGAGAAAATACAAGAAGAAAAGCACGAGTAATACTTTGAAGAATAATGCTAGTTGTTTAGATGGCAGATTGCTGTGCTATGGCTATTAGTTACAGCTGTGTAATTACATATATGCAGAAGAAAAATGAAGTTGTTTTAAAACAAGTCCTCCTCTGTGAGCAGAATTAATTGATATTAACAATCCTAACTACATGCCCAAGTACACACACAATATTTTACTCACAGTTTTTTTGGGTCAGTCTTCTATTACTGCATTGTAATTTCAGAGCAGATTTGCCTTGAGGTAAGTAATCAATCTGTGTTGCAGTCTTCTCAGGCATTAGAGGAAAAGTGGGTATTTATAGAGAGTACAGAAACTTGTGATTTATTCCTCAAGAGTTCTTCTGATGCATCGCTATTTACATCGCAGTCAACCACATCGTAAAACATATTCAAATCCATGCTTAAATTTGCTGCTAAAAGCAGTTGTAAGCTGAAGGTGGCAGGCTCAGACAGTCAGCATATGGCCATCCTAGATTTTATGGTGCAGTGAATGTTCTGCTGGATGTTTTGGGGAGCTTGAAGGGGGTGATCTTGCTCCTTCTGAAGTTAGTGAGGAATTTGTTTTTGTCTTTGGTGTGAGGCAGATGGGGTAGGATGCCCCAGGAGGTGTTTTAACCTACATCAGAGAAGGACTGTCACCCAAAACCTGGGTACTGCCTGTGAGTCCTCATGGAGGCTTCTGGATCCTGTGCCATGTGGGACCCGACTTGGCTGTGCTTGAGCCCTCTCTGGAGCCTGAGCCCCGTGACCCCAGCCTATGCCATGGCACCCTGTGCCCGCAGGCAAGGCTTTTGGGTGGGTGACAGTAGGGAATCCTATCTTGGGATGCATCCAAAGGAGCGTGACCAGCAGGTCAGGGGAGGGTATTCTACCCCTCTGCTCTGCTCTGGTGAGACCCCACCTTCAGTCCTGTGTCCAGCTCTGGAGTCCTCAGCACAGGAAAGGCATGGACCTTTTGCAGAGGGTCCAGAGGAGGGCCACAAAATTGCTCAGGGTGCTGGATCCCTTCTCCTATGAAGAAAGGCTGAGAGAGTTAGGCGTGTTCAGCCTGGAGAAGGCTCTGGTGAGACCTTATTGTGGCCATTGTGTTCTTAAAAGGGGCCTGTAAGAATGGGGAAAGACATTCTAGCAGGGCTTGTTGTGCTAGGACAAGGGGTGATGGGTTTAAACTAAAAGAGGGGATGTTCAGGCTGGATGTGAGGAAAACGTTCTTTATAGTGGGGGTGGTAAAACACTGGCACAGGTTGCCCAGAGAGATGGTGGAAATGTTCAAGACCAGGCTGGATGTGGTTCTGAGCAACCTGATCTAGTTGAAGGTGGCATTGCAGGAGGGTTGGACGAGATGACCTTTGAAGGTCCCTTCCAACCCAAACTGTTCTGTCGTCTTATGGGAAATTGGGACTAGCAGCCTACGCTGCTAAAAGTGCCAGAATTTCTGAGAGGCGCAAAAGGTGCTGAAAATGCCTCACTTGGTGTTCAGTGGTACTCCCCTCTGATGCCAAAATCAATGCCCCTTCTATGGAAACGTGCTGCGCACTGTACACCACGCTCCCCGCCATACCCCCTGGGGCAGCCGTGATTCAGCTGGGCCCTGCAGAGGCTTGTTAGAGGTGAGGAGATCTTGGTGTGATGGGATATGACTGCAGGCAGCTGCTTTAAAATACGCTCTGATATCAGCCCAAGCTTTAAAGTCAAAATTTCCTTGATACCAGCCATTGAATTTTCCATTAACTTCTGTCGATTCTTCTGCTCATTTGGTTTGCATCGCCATTGGAATGAGGAGCCGATCACTGACTCCAACAGCTTCTTCGGAGATGTTGGTTTTGTTACGTTTGTGCACTTCCCAGGGTTATGTTTCAGTGTATGTATGAGGTAAACACCCAGCAGTTTTTCATGTTTTACAGAGCATGGTATGGGGATGACTTAGGAGCATTAGATTTGGGATCATTTGGAGCCATTACTTGAACTGCTGTCCTAACAAACATCCAAGAAGGAATAAGAACTGGGTATGGGAAACTAGTTGAGAATTGTGAGATAAAATAGCAAGAACACCACTCGGCATACAAATGTTTACCCACAGCTTTATCAATGATTTCATTGTACGGTGGTTTTCTCCTCAGCTTCGTAATGCTCTCAAATGTGTGTGTGTGTGTGTGGAATATAAATTTAAAAAAAAAGGGGGAAGAAAATGACATCATTCCAGTTATCCAAGCTCTTAGAAATGTGTTCCAGAACCTGTCAAGCCTTCGTGGAATTAGTTTAGGTATAATACAAGTGCAGAAAAAGCATGGAACGGGCCTTGTCCGCGTGATACCTACAATGTGTGCACATAACCTTGAACAATGGCCAAGTGAAAAAGAAAAGGGAAAGGAGGAATTTTTCAGGTGTTACAGGGCTCTTACATACTTGCAGCTCAAAAGAAGTATATGTATTTCCATATATATTTCCTGTAGTTTAAGTGCTGATGGGTAGAACTGTTGTATCCCAAATTTCAGCCTGGAGCTAAGTTTCGTAATTTGAGCTATAAACCCCTAAAAAAAGGGTTTATGTTTATGATGGAATTGCTGACAGATCCTTATGTATATAGTAGGACTAGCAGGCATTGCTGTAATTATGCTATCGTATCCTATCATTAAAGATTTCAATTGAAAGAGGTTTATAAATTGCTCTTCCTCTTAGATAAACCACCCTACATTAAGGCATCAACGATATGGTGCAGAATTAAATTAAAATCTCATAAAATGAAATATGTTCTGTATTAGCTGTTTGACACTTAATTTGCCTCTGAATGAGTAGAGGAAATCACAAATTAACCTGCCTTTGTTTTGCCAGCCATGGCTTATTAGGTGTTAGAACAACTGCAATTACAGCCCAATAATAACCCCCAACCCTTATGAATATGTACTGAAATGTGTCACTTTGTGTTACCAAAACCTGTTTGTTAGGACTGTATAGTTATCCTTGAATAATATATACTTCAGGGAAGATGTATGAGACTGAAGTTGTTCTTTGGTGGCAACATATGAACAGTGTAATTGGAGCTGTAGCTTGTGTATTCCTGCTTTATTATTTTCTTTTCCAAATTCAAGGCATGAATTTAAGACATTTAAGGCATGAAGCTTAAAGAAAAACCCCAGTAAACTAGGATTAATTATTGCTACTTTTGATTGAACTAGCAAGTTAAATTACTTGTTAAACATCATACAATTAAAACATTCCAAAAGCATGGCTTTACTAATCCCACTTTTTGCTTTGTTCTTCTTTGTTGTTGTTTTTGTCTAGCTCTTCCTTAATTTTCAAAATTGATTTCTAAAGTAAGCTCCTAAAGGAGAAACTGAAGCTAAACTGTTTTGATCCTTGACATTTGCTGGTCATCCAGTAGAGTGGGCTGCCTTCCCCAGTTGGTGCATTTAACTGTGACTACTTAGGAAGCTACCATTTGTGGACATTCCTTCATTCCTTCCACACCTTTACTGAGTTGTGTTAATAGGTTGCTCCCAATCTACTTCGGGGTCGGTCAGCCTTTGGAGGCTATATAACCTGGTATTTCCAGTCACCAGTAATGAGTCTGTGAAGGATGCATGCTCCTGCAGAGGTGGCTGGTGGCAGTGTCAGGAATGGCTCCAGTGTGGTGGCCTGTGTATGTCTCCAAGCAGTTAACACATGTCAGCTAGTAGAATGAGAAGCTACACCATGAATGTTCCGAAACATTCATCCTTTTAGTCTCCATTTCTCTTTCTGTTGCCATCCCATTTTACGTTACCTCTGGACTGGGAGTAATGGAGCGTGAGCAGGTAGATCTAAGAGAAGGTGCACTGATGCTGCCCATATGCTTACGGCCAGAGGGAGTGCAAGGTAAAGCTGCTGTCTTTTATTGTTGATCCTAGGAAGCTACTCCAAGCTTCATTTTTCTAACTGCTGATTGAGGCTAGAAGCATCCGAGTTTGGCAGTCTTACATCCTGAAATGATGCATGTGCAGATAATTGTGCATGTGCCTAACATGGAAACCTTGAACAGATATTTTGGACTGTGTGAATGCACTGGTACTAAAGCAAAGCATTTGTTTTTCTTGCAGTTGGCTTCAACTTGATAAAAAGAGAGTCTGATTCTTAGATATGTTATTTCATACCTGATTTATGGAGACATCAGTTACACAAGGGTGAAAAGGAAGGGAAAGTCAGGTCCAGACT